TGTGCGGGCGCTTGCATCGAGGGATGGAGGGAGTTGTGCCGTAACTGTAAAGAGAAGATATCACAAAGCTCAACAATTGAAATGTGCATCCAAGGCATGCACTTCAAGCTCTCTTATATCCTACAAGGAATCAAGCCTATTACATTCGAAGAACTATCCAGTCGTGCTCTTGACATAGAGTTGAGTATCGAAGCCAATAGAGGTCTCACCATGTCAAGTATGCCTAGCTCATCCAAGGTGCCTGCAAAACAAGAAGTCAAGAAAGGGGGCAAGCCCTTCTCGAAGCAAGAAAAGAAGGAAGACATGAACGTGAAAACAAGACCAATGTGAGTTTTCACCAAGGTGACTGAAAAACATAGGCCAAGGTCCTTCCCTCGCCCATCAAGGGGAACTAGAATTATTAAAGAGTGGCAGCAGAAACAGTATCCGTTCTTGGATTCTAACGTTTCGCTCATGTTTGATAAGTTGTAAAAACCCTAGTTGATTGAACTACCAGAGATTAAGCGCCTCGAAGAATCTTCTAGGGTAGATAACCCCAACTATTGCAAGTGTCATCGTCTCCTCGGACACCCGATTGACAAATGCTTTGTTTTTAAGGACAAGGTGATGTCACTTGCTCGTGATGGGAAGATTAAGTTGGCTGATGCAACTGCACGCACCAACCAAATTTCATGTGGAAGGTTTGCTCTGTTACTTTCAGAGAGTGATGAAGAGGATGGGGGCAAGCAATGCAAACGCTCGCTTCCATTTATTGTGAAATATGTTGCTAGGCAGCATCCAAAGTCACCACAAGCTGATACTGTCTGCAAGAAATATTGGGTAGTAGTTACCCATAGAAAGCAAAGGAGCAATGCTGGACATGTTAGATCGTTGAAGAAAATAACAAAGCGATGGGTCGAGAAAAAACTAGCAAGGGACCCCGTCTATGACCCAAAGAAGAACAGACGTCCGAACAAGTCACGAACATCAATTACCCTGGCTCAATACATGCCAAAGGCGCTTCATCTGCATGGGACAAATATTCCTGGAATTTGCTTGAATGCTAAAGAGAAATATGCTGAAATGGGAGAATGTTCATTCCACGTGATTGAAGGAAGTTACGATGTCCAAGTTCACAAAGCCACGTCTTATACCGCCGAGATAAATTTCAAAGATGAACATCTATTGCTTGGTGGTACACCACATAATCGTCCATTGTTTGTCGAAACTATACCCGCGAGCAAAAAATCAAAAGGATTTTTTTGATTGATCAAGGATCGACTGTGAACATTCTGTCACTCCGGCTATGAAGGAACTTGGCATCTCTACTTATGAGCTCTCTCAAAGCCGCTTAATGATTCAAGGATTTAATCAAGGTGGTCAAAGGGCCCTAGGTATCATCATACTTGATCTCAGGATCAGAACATTAAATTCAAGTACCATGTGCTATGTGATAGATACAAGGTCATCTTACAACTTGTTGTTAGGCCGACCTTGGATTCATGAGAACGGAGTAGTCCCTTCATCATGGAACCAGTGTCTCATGTTTGAAAAAGGCGGTGTGATAGAAAAGGTGGTCGCTGATGAAGCTCCATTCACCGAAGCAGAGTCGCACTTTGCAGATGCAAAGTTTTACGTGAAGAAACAAGTTATTGTAGAAGAGGCCGACGAAAGCAATGTTGATACATCTCCTGATCCAAAGTGGAAAGGCAAACAAGTCGTAGGTCAAGCTCATTGAAACGAGGAGCTTGTTTTCCCACTTGCAAGAATTGAACCACTAAAAGCAACTCCAGTTAAACCGCTTGAAGATGAGGCTTAGGTTGGGACAAGTCAAACGTTGCCCGCTAAGAGCATTAACGACTTCAACCATCACACAAGTTGGGGAAACTTATCCCAGAAGCTGGTGGTAAAGGAAAGTCAAACCACCAGGAACCGCATGCACGCAAAGGATTGGGTTACGTTCCCCCTTAACTAGTGCGAATCTTCATAAACAAAGCCACAAGTAATTGCATAACTTCTACGGATGAGGAAGAAAGTGACAAGAAGCAATCTGTTTTTTGATAGAATCGGAGAGGTAGAATCACAACGATCACTCTTTCGTAGACTTGGGTCAAATCCTAAACTTACTAAGTTAAAATCAGTACATGATAGAATTGGACCTGCTCAAGATTTGAAGGAGTAGACCAACCCTCCTGCTGAAACGGAGCCCTAAAAAAGGCTCAGGAGTGCAGTTTCGTCTCGTATGAAATGAGAAGTTGATATCCATGTCTCGTGTAGTGAAGTTTTGAAGGTCCAACCAAGAACTATTATACATACCCGCGTGCAAAGACGAAATGAAGAAAACATTGATTCAAGTTGTGAGACAACACCGAGTCCAAATGAGGTGGCGTCATCATTCCATATAACATTATGTAATGAGATCCCAGCTGAAGGAGGAGATGCAGAGGAAGCGCCCCAAGAGTTAGATGAAGGGGTACAAGCCGCAGTGGATGAATTGAAAGAGGTTGATATAGGAACTCTTGAAAATCCTCGACCTATCTTCATTAGCGCACTCCTTTCTGATGAAGATGAAGAAACATATGTCACACTTCTGAATGAATATATTGATGTATTCGCATGGACATACAAGGAGATGCCAGGGTTAAACCCAAAGGTAGCGGTGCACCGCTCGGAAGTGAAAAAGGGGTGTCGCCCAGTTAAGCAAGCTCAACGGTGCTTTCTCCCTGAGCTATTTCCCTCAATTGAAACAGAAGCCAACAAGCTTATAGAAGCTGGTTTCATTCGCGGAGTTAAATACCCAACTTGGATATCCAGCATTGTGCCTGTGTGCAATAAGAATACCCAGATCCGCGTGTGCGTAGACTTTTGAGATCTTAATATTGCATGCCCAAAAGATGACTCCCGCTCCCTATCACAGAGTTAATGATAGATGCCGTGACTGGACATGATATCATGTCATTTATGGATGGCTCCTCCGGTTACAATCAAATCTGCATGGCGCTAGAAGATGAGGAGTTGACAACGTTTCGAACACCAAAAGGCATCTACTGTTACAAAGTGATGCCCTTCAGTTTAAAAAATGCAGGTGCTACATACCAAAGGGCTATGTAGATTATATTTGACGACATGCTTCATAAAATGGTGGAATGCTACGTAGATGACCTGGTTGTGAAGTCGGAACTCCGCACAGATCACATGATGCATCTAAGACAAGTCTTTGACTGCTTGCGGAAATTTCAACTCAAAATGAACCCCCTGAAATGTGCCTTTGGAGTTGCTGCTGGAAAGTTCCTTGGATTTACTGTTCGACACAAGGGCATTGTAAACGAACAAGCTAAGATCGACGCTATAATGGAGATGCCTGAGTCAAGAAACCTTCATGAGCTTAAAAGCTTACAAGGGAAGTTGGCTTATATCAGAAGGTTCATTTATGTACCATAGAATTCCATCGAAGGGGCAAGCCTTAGCGAATTTCCTAGCTGATCATCCAATTCCTACCGATTGGGAGCTGTCCGATGACCTACCTGATGAGGATGTGTTTGTGATTGAAGTTTTACCCCCATGGAAGATGTACTTTGAGATCATTTATGTACCACAGAAGTCCATCAAGGGGCAAGCCTTAGCGGATTTCCTAGCTAATCATCCAATTCTTGCCGAATGGAAGCTGTCCAATGACATACCTGATGAGGATGTGCTTGTGATTGAAGTTTTATCCCCATGGAAGATGTACTTTGATGGAGCAGCACACAAAGAGGGGGCAGGAACTGGAGTTGTCTTTGTTATGCCAGAAGGGGAAGTGTTTCCTTATTCATTTACCTTGACGGAATAATGCTCGAACAATGTTGCCGAGTATCAAACACTCATTTTGGGACTTGAAATTGCAGCTGATGTGAAGCAACTAAGGGTTAACATATATGGGGACTCCAAACTGATTGTCAACCAAGTACTTGGAGTTTATGAAATTAAAAAAAAAAAAAAAAAAAAAAAAACCAGAGTTAATCTCATACAATAGTTATGCCAGGATGCTCATGCAGTGGCTAGGAGATGCTACGATTGAACACATTACACATCCCAAGGAAACAGAATAAGCAAGTTGATGCCTTAGCTGCTTTAACTTCAATTGTATCCCATCTTGTAGATGAGGCTCGGTTGCGAGTATGCCAAAAATGGGTGATCCCTCCAACCTTTAAAGACGATGGCTCTCTTGACGAAACTGTTGAACTCCCGACTACTTCTGCTTATGATGTGGATAAAGAGGATTGGAGGCAATCATTGATTGACTACTTTGTTGATGGGAAGTTATCTCAAGACCTTTGTAGGAGGGTAGATATAAGACGTCAAGCTCCTCGCTTCATATATTTCAAGGACACGCTATATCGACGCTCGTTTGATGGTGTGTTTCTCTGATGTTTAGGCGAAGAGGAAGCTTTACAAGCGATGGAGGAAGCTTACTCTGGAGTGTGCGGTGCTCATCAATCTGGTCCTAAGTTACATTTTCACATTAAAAGGACGAGTTACTACTGGCCTACGATGGCAAAGGATTGCATAGACTATGCCTGTAGATGTCAAACATGTCAATTCCATGTGAACTTTATCCATCAACCTCCAGAACCGCTACATCCAACGATAACATCATGGCCATTTGATGCATGGGGACTCAATGTAGTTGGCCCTACACCCAAATCATCAGTAGGGCATTCGTACATATTAGCAACCATTGATTATTTCTCAAAGTGGGCTGAAGCAGTGGTTTTAAAAGAAGTGAAAAGGAAAATGTTGCAAACTTTATCCAAGTTCACATTATCTATCGTTTTGGTATCCCTCGGTATATCTTAACCGACAATGGGAAACCATTCGATAATAAGTTGATGGATAAAATCTGTAAACTTTTTGAGTTTGAGCAAAGAAATTCCTCAGCTTATTATGCAGCTGCAAATGGACTTGCCGATGTTTTTAACAAAACTCTATGCAACCTACTGAAAAATGTGGTGTCGAAGTCAAAACGTGATTGACATGAGAGAATGGAAGAAGCATTGTGGGCATACAGAACTACATACCGTATACCAATAGAAAGCACTCCATACTCACTGGTATATGGGGTTGAAGCAGTTTTGCCTCTTGAACATCAAATACCTTCGTTAAGGTTAGCTATTCAAGAAGGTCTTACAAACGAGGAAAATGTAAAGTTACGGTTGGCAGAGTTAGAAGCTCTCGATGAGAAGAGGTTACAAGCTCAACAAAATTTAGAATGCTATCAAGCTCGAATTTCTAGAGCTTTCAACAAAAAGGTGAGGGTTGGCTCATTTCAAATTGGTGACAAGGTATTGGTGGTTCGTAGACGTCATCATTACAAGGAAAACTGGGCATAAGTTTACTCCAAAATGGGATAGACCTTACGTGGTCCAAGAAGCATACTCAGGAGGTGCTTACAAGTTGCTTGATGAAAATTGTGTGCAAGTTGGCCCTATTAATGGGAAATTCTTAAAGACTAATCATCCCTAAGAAAATAGGACCACTTGATGAATGATATCCACCAAAAATGTTGCACGTGGTTAAACTGCTAAAACATCTCGCTTGTCTATGGGTGGGCCCAATTAAGCTCATGCAGGTCAGGAGCGTCTATGAAGTGACTCATTTGCGTTTAGACTTAGTTGCTTTTGTTCATATTCTATTGTCAGGATTCTATTGAAGTGACTCATTTGCGTTTAGACTTAGTTGCTTTTGTTCATATTCAAGTTCAATTACTTTCTTTCAAGTTCACTTTTGCACTTGTAATCAAGAAAATTGTTTGCAATATTGTTGAGTAAAAAAAATGAATTCAATTCGTGTCGAAGTCTCGTTTTCAAAATAGACTCATACAAAGTAGTAAAAATACAAAAATAGTAAACAAATGGAAAAAAAAAAAAACCAAAGGAATACAAGAGCTAAGCAAAAGATCTAAAGTATTCTAAAACCCATAAGGTCTTCCTTGCACGCTTCTAGTTCTCTTTTGACTAAAGCAAGTTTTTTCTTCATCTTCGTTTGTCAACGTGGGGCTGTCTCGAATATGCTTAACTTCTTCCTCAACAGTAGTCACAACCTTTTGTGATGCGTCATGTTGTTCTTGAGCTTTGGTCACAAGATCTTGGAGTTCTGGCTATTGATCTCGAATCTTCCTCAACTTTTCCTAGGCATCCTTTATCGTTTCTTCTAGGAGGGTTTCTTGATCATCAGAGTCTTTGAGGATTATCTGTTGGTCAAGCAGAAGAGCTTCGGTTTGAGAATGTTTTTGTTGAGCTTCTTTGAGAACACCTTGCACTAGACAAAGCTCCTCAACTTGAGTTTCGACGGGCATTGCATTTGAGAGCTGAGACCGCGTCTGATCATAATCTTCGGTCTTCTTAAATACCTCGACTACTCGTTTCTCCAAAGTCGACAGGTCCACTCCGTCTCGTTTCATAAATTGGAGTTGTTTCCCAATACTTCCTTTGAAAGAAGAAATGCTTTCAGTCGGAATCTCACTAAGCTTCCCGCAGATGTCGCTCTAAAGACTTGCGATAAAAGCCATGTATCTTGACATAAACGATTTCGCGCCAAGAAGGATAGAGGCTTGGGATGGTTTAGGTTGTGCTTCTTGATGAGTTGTGTTTGAGGGCGGTGTTGATTGATGAGATGCTACCTTGAGGTCAAGGGGGTTAGAACATCCACTACTTTGTCCTCTACCTATTGAAGAATGGTGATTTGATGATTGGGTGTAAGTACTAATATGTGGCTCGATATACTCTTATAAGAAGTGCATGAACGTTAACAAAGGCCAAAGTTCAATAATATTTAGAAGGGAAAAAGTTTGGATCGGTGTCTTAACCTTGTTCAATGGTCTCCCTTTGGGCCGTCTCCAACAGCGATCTTGATCGTCATTGCTAGCAGCATCCTCGCCCGAGCTTCGTTCTCTCACTTGTTCCTCCCTCCTCGTTTGAGTCGCACGTCCCGAGGCTTGATCTCGAGATGACGTGTCCTCTTGTGTAGGTGCTTTGCCTTTCCTCGAGGCAGTTAATTGGTCTCTTTGCTCTTGAGTTCTTTCATCGTCAACATGTACGTTTGGGTTTCTATTGACGACTATGTCTATAATACGATTCTCAAGAAGGTTTGCACGCACATTGATCAACCAGGCTTTGTACTCATTTGAAAAATGCTTCTTTGGAGCAGTCAGGTCCATGGGAAATGTAGCCTTGGATTAAGAGTTGATATTATCGTATTGGCGATAAAGTCGGAATCCTTCGGTGAGCGAAACATGGCGGTCATCCTTCTCCAACAGGCCGGGGGCATACGCTTGATAGAATCCAAATTGACGGCTGAAGCGATGAGGCATATAAGGCTCAACTTTGCATTGAGATCCATGGCGCAAAACGAGGAAACTGGGGCGCAAACCTTTGAAGTACTTAAAGTCTTCCTCACTCCCTTTACCGTTGTCTCAAAAGAAAAAATCTCTGTCATTCTTGCGGGAGGTGCAGAGCCAAGAAACCACTCCCCTTTGAATATCCTCTTACGGGCATCCATCTCGTTGTAATGCTTTGCACCACCTTCTCCAGAAATAGTGACCATATTTGGATAGGATAACGTGAGGCTTTTGGGGTCTTAAAGTGGGTTTGGAAGTAAGCTGCTAACTAGTCGTACACATAATGGATTGGGAAAGGATCTCCTATTTGACAAGGAGAGTGAGATTTCGAGATCGAGTTTAAGCCAGAATAAATGCTAGTAAGTACTGGAGCCGCAAGGCATACCTTATTTCCTCTAGCCATCGTGCATACCATCTTGAAAGTCTCGGGGCGAATGGTTCTCATTGGTGTGCTTGGTAGGACGAACACGCAAAGCCAACAAGATAAGAACGCAGCTAAGTAGGTTTCCCCTTCAAGATGTCGGGAAATGCCTAGTTCAAAAAAAGGTGTTTTGCTCACATCTGACCATCCGACGGTACTGTCAAGTATTCCGCTTGGGTTGTGGGTGGACCTTGGTCGAGATTTCCTAGTCTTCTTTTGAGTTAGAGGTGGAGGGGTTGCATACTTTCGGGTTTTCCTGCACCAGAAGTCGATCCATCGTGATGCTTGAACATAGGTGGTGTTATCTTCTTGCTGATTTAAACGGTAAAATACCTCGAAAAGAAACGCGTAGCACTTGATTGAATTCTTGGTCAGATCCAAGGCACTTGGGATGCGTTCGTCATAAATGCCGTCGGACAATGGTAGTCCCCCAAGTATGTGCAAATCCCGAGGCGATATGCTCCACTCACCGCACGAGGTAATCAGTGTGTTAGTCCGCGGGCATCATGCTTAGTGAAGCATGGTGCCCGCAGACTAACACACTGATTACCTCCTCTGGTGGGTTGGGCATATCGCCTCGAGATATTCACATACTTGGGGGACTACCATTGTCTGGCGACATTTATGACGAACGCATCCCAAGTGCCTTGGACCTGACCAAGAATTCAAACAAGTGTTGCGCGTGCCTTTTCGAGGCATTTTACCATTTAAATCAGCAAGATGATGACACCACCTATGTTCAAACATCACGATGGATCGACTTCTGGTGCAGGAAAACCCGAAAGTATGTAGCTCCTCCACCTCCAACTCAAAAGAAGACTAGAAAATCTCGACCAAGGTCTACCCACAACCCAAGCGAAATACTTGACGCTTCCGTCAGATGGTTAGATGTGAGCAAAGTGCCCTTTGTTGAACCGGGTATTTCCAAACATCTTGAAGGGGAAACCTACTTAGCCGCGTTCTTATCTTGTTGGCTTTGCATGTTCATCCTACCAGGTACACCAATCAGAACCATTCGCCCCGAGACTTTCAAGATGGCATGCATGATAGCTAGAGGAAATAAGGTATGCCTTGCGGCTCCAGTACTTACAAACATTTTATTTTGGCTTAAACTCAATCTCGGAATCTCACTCTCCCGGTCAAATAGGAGATCATTTCCCAATCCATTATGTGTACTCTAGCAGCTTACTTCCAAACCCATTTTAAAACCCCTAGCCTCACATTATCCTATCCAAAGATGGTAACCATTTCTGGGGAAGGTGGTGCAAAGCATTACAACAAGATGGATGCCCGTAAGAGGATATTCAAAGGGGAGTGCGATTCTTGGCTCTGCACCTCACGCAAAAATGATAGAGATTTTATCATTTGCGACAACGGTAAAGGATGTGAAGAGAACTCTGAATACTTCAAAGGTTTGCGCCCCAGTTTCCTCGTTTTGAGCCAAGGATCTCAATGCAAAGCTGAGCCTTATATGCCTCATCGCTTCAGCAGTCAATTCAGATTCTATCAAGCATATGCCCACGGCCTGTTAGAGAAGGATGTCCGCCATGTTTCTCTCACCGAATGATTCCGACTTCATCGCCAATATGATAATATCAACTCCCAATCCAAGGCTACATTTCCCATGAACCTGACTGCTCCAAAGAAGCATTTTTCAGATGAGTACAAAGCCTGGTTGATCAATGTGCGTGCAAACCTTCTTGAGAATCGTATCACAAACATAACCGTCAATGGAAACCCAAACATACCCGTTGACGATGAAAGAACTCAAGAGCAAAGAGACCAATTAACTGCCTCGAGGAAAGGCAAAGCACATGCACAAGAGGACACGTCATCTCGAGATCAAACCTCGGGACATGCGACTCAAAAAAGGAGGGAGGAACAAGTGAGACAATGAAGCTCGGGCGAGGATGCTGCTAGCGATGACGATAAAGATCGCTGTTGAAAACGGTCCAAAGGGATACCATTGAACAAGGTTAAGAAACCTCCTCAAACTTTTTGCCTTCCATATATTGTTGAACTTTGGCCTTTGTTAACGTACATGCATTTCTTACAAGATTCTGTCGAGCCACATGTTAGAGACAACGCCCAATCATCAAATCACCATTCTTCGATTAGTGGAGGACAAAGTTCTAACCCCCTTAACCTCGAGGTAGCATCTCATCAATCAACGCCGCCCTCAAACACAACTCATCAAGAATCACAACCGGAACCATCCCAAGCCTCTATCCTTCATGGCACAGAATCGTTTATATCACGATACATGACTTTTATCGCAAGTCTTTGGAGCGATAGCTACGGGAAGCTTAATGAGATTTCAATTTTGAAAGCATTTCTTCTTTCAAACGAAGTGTTGAGAAACAACTCCAATTTATGAAACGAGACGAAGTGGACCTGTCAACGTTGGAGCAACGAGTAGCCGAATTATTTAAGAATGCCAAAGATTATAATCAAACGCGGTCGCAGCTCTCAAATGCAATGCTCGTCGAAACTCAAGTTGAGGAGTTATGTCTAGCGCAAGGTGCTCCCAAAGAAGCTCAACAAAAGCATTCTCAAACTGAAGTGTTTCTGCTTGACCAACAGAAAATACTCCAAGACTCTGATGATCAAGAAACCCTCCTAGAAGAAACGATAAAAGATCCCAGGAAAAGTTGAGGAAGATTCGAGATCAAAAGCCAAAACTCCAAGATCTTGTGACCAAGGCTCAAGAACAACATGACGCATCACAAAAGGTTGTGGCCACTGCTGAGGAAGAAGTTAAGCGCATTCGAGACAGCCCCATGTTGACAAACGAAGATGAAGAAAAACTTGTTTTAGTCAAAAAAAAAAAAAGAGCTAGAAGCGTACAAGAAAGATCTTATGGGTTTTAGAATACTTTAGATCTTTTACTTAGTTCTTGTATTCCTTCGATTCTTTCCATTTGTTTACTTCTTCTTCTTCTTCTTCTTCTTCTTTTTTTTTTTTTTTTTTTTTTTTTTTTTTTTTTGGGTATTTTGGCTACTTTGTATGAG